CAATAAATTTAATTTTCCTACATAGTTTTTACCAACAGAATATTATTCGTCAGAATCTCGCAGGAGAAGGTAAATTTTGAGAAAAATGTCTATTTTTTTGCGGAAATGATCTCTAGAAATGAATGTTTTTCCTGTCGTGATAAAAGTATCATATTACTATGTTTACTTGCAGTTCCTGTTAAATATAAAGTACACTACTTAAATCAGTAGACATGTTGCATAACTACCCTGTATTATACTTGAATTATAAATTTTGTAATTTTAATGTCTTCTACTTATGCTATGCATTAAAAAGATATTGAATGCTTTAGTGGAGTAGAGAAAGCCTACTAAGCAAGTATTTGCTCACACTCTGAATTACAAGTTATTTCAAGAAAAGGGTAAGGGGCGGCTAAGTAAAATAGAAGTTGGTAAGGTTGAAATTCGTTACAGAGCTGGTTAAGTAGATGTATTTTTGATAGTCTGATTCTTATTTATGTATTTTGATATTTTACAAGTATTATGGACTATTGTATTTGATCATTTTTGGAAGTGATGTGAATTATGATTATTCGTGTATCTTTTATTTTTGCATTTATGGGGGATTAGCTGGCTCTTTTATGTTAAAATTGAGATTAAGTTTCACTAAACCCTAAACTAGGAGTTACATTTCTTGATGTAGCTTTTATGGACATCATTAACCAATCAATATTAGAGTTATGAGCTGACATGGATCTTAAATGTTATCCCTATATAGAAGATAGTATGTCAAATAAGTTATAAAAGTTCCTTAGAACTACGCATAAGGAAAACTTCTACCTTGCCAATAGAAGGTCATAAATGTAAATTTGGCACAAATGCTCCATATGAGAATAGATAAAGCTAGCACAATCACCAAATTAGTCAAAGAAATAATAAACCTAAACATGAGTTAATAATAAGTTAGAATAATCAAATCATAACTCTTACAAAACAACATCATTAAAAAATATTTGCTTTAGACATAGTAAGATTCAAAATCCAATCATATATATGCAATAATGCCTCAACTAATAAGAAACTTGAAATATCATGAATGAGCTCTATGCAGGACACTATAGGCCACATCAATTTGATCTTGAATTAAAATATAAAAACTAACAACATATGTTATTATTGGCCAAACATAAAGATGACACATATCATCTTAGCGACCACTTAGTGCTTCTTTAAACTGGCTGATATGATGCCATATCACTCGGGAAAGTCAAGAATCAAGATAAATAATATTGTAAACTTTATTAAAGATCACACTACTACCATTGTCAAGCTATATAATTTTTAAGTCAAGAGTCAAGCTATATAACTTTCATATTTTTATATTCGCTCCTTAGCACAACATAAACCAATGCCACTCTATAACCAACACTCTTAGGACAGTTGATTTGATAGTATATTTTGTTAAGACTAGTAAAGCTTAATGAAATATTACTTACTACAAGTAAATGTGACTGTGGAGAAATTATGACCTTACAAAACTGCTTATAATATATATATAGAAAGTGCAATAAAAGTAAAAATCAATAAATTATCTCCCTCTATCATCGCAGTAGTCCAACATGCAACATAATGGAAAGTAATGACGATCAATTGCTTTGTTTGCAATTTAATTGGTTCAATTATATACTATAATTTTATAGGTAAAACATAGCATGGTAAACGAAAAAAAAATCAATGCTTTTAAAATCAGATCAGACCGGCCGGTTCAACTGGTTGAACCGCGGACCGGCCGGACGCCTGGTTACGGTTCATGTTAAAAACGGTTTCACACAAAACCGGTATTGAACCGTTCGAACCGGCAGTTCGACAGCCCAACCGTCGAACCAGTCCCGATTTTTGATAACCGGCCCACCGTATAATTCATTCGGATCAAAGTGTCACGACCCGACCCGACCCGGGATGAATCCCGCTCTCACCGGGCCGCGACCGAACCTTATATCCAGGATCTGGCTTTGGAATTTGCTTACTGAACTGAATCTTCCAAATTATTTCAACTCAAAAACCAACACACAGACACAGACCAGAGCTACTATTGAATCTTCAATTGCAGCGGAACAAGAATCATTCTATTAATTTTCTTTCTTTCCTCAAAGAACAGATTCGATCTACAAATACGTGGTACATGGGCTGGAACTACATGAAAATGAAATAGCAGAAGAAAAGCACCATGTACCGTACAAAAATCAAAAATACAAAATAGTACCATATCAACCAGATCGGACTCTGAACTCTACGTCCTGGATTCCTCACTTTCCAACCGAAATTTCCCAGAAACCCATATGGATAGGAGCTAAATAGACCCACCACAGAAATATTCGAGACAAAGCTAGAGCTCAACAGATCTGCAGTCAGCTGCACATACCATCCATCTACAAATTCAAAGATGCTCATAACCAAACAGCATGCAGAACAAATCCGATATAGAATCAGAACAGAAATCTGAGAACAGAATATCGGACAGATTATCAAATCGAAACAGATCAGAACAAAACAGATCAAAATTCAGACAGAACTGAAATCTGAACAAATATCAAAGCAAAACAGAACTGTACGGAAAGACAGTTCATATCACATCAGAAAAACAGAACAGTCAGACATATCAAAATCAGAAAGTAGAATCGTACAAAATCATAAGTTCAGATCAATTATCGCGAACAAAACAAGAATCATTATCATACAGATAGAATCAGATTCATTTATCGTTAGCGGAAATCAGAATCAGATTTGCTTACCAGATTAACAATTACTGGAATCAGAATCATATAAATCAGATATTCAGAATATTAATTTAATTCATTAGCCTAAATACCCTGACACCTGACGGAAATCTCTACGGATTCCAGCCCCTTAATGCCTTCCTTCCAGACACTGACTGAATCTCATAGGATCAGGCCCTTATGCTCCCTTTGTGCTCACGGCACCAAACAACAGATATGGTGGCTTATAGCACCAGAATAAATATATAGTGCATTATAGCACCTAAACAGATTGTTTCCTCGGATCCGGAACAGACACAGATTATCAGATTGAGCTCATTTCATATTCCAGACACTAACTGAATCTCATAGGATCCAGCCCCTTATAACTCCCTTTTATAGCATATACAATAGCATATCAATTCAGAAAGAAATCCGGACAAAAATCAGAAATTTAGACCAAAAATCGGGCAGCACAACGGCAGTATACAGAATTTACACAATTTTTCCTGAAAATCACAATTCACCAAATTTGTACCAGAATATAGATCATATAACATTTCAGAACATTTATTCTACTGCACAGACAATTTTTAATTTCACAGAAAAATCCGGTCGACTAAAAACTCTGTCGAATCAAAAATACCCGGACAAAAATCTTCAAAATATAGTCAAAACGTGCACACCCGGCACGGCAACAATATACAAAAAGTTACGCGGTAAAAACTGAACCAATCAAAAGATACGGACGAAAATGCCTCGCCAAAATCAAATCCGAACAGAAAACACCGCCAAACACGACGGTTCTGAAAATTGAGAAAGGCGGAATGTGCCTTACCTTGCGTACAGCAATATCCTGAACAGCCTCTTCGGACGAAAACGGCTCCGCGTCGTCCGAAAATCAACTTTTGCAAATGATTCCTCGACTTTCTCTCTCCTCAGAAAAATCAGATATATTGTTTTTTATTTTCTCTCTTCAAAACGACTGATTTCAGCTTTATAAAACTCAGATCGGCCCGGCCGATCGCCATATCGTCCCAGGACAATCAGACCAAATTCAATCATCCTGGACGGTTCCCAGAACTATTTTCCGGCCGATATTTTCTACAGTGCCAATCGGCCTGGCCGAAGCCTCGATCGGCCTGGACGATGCTTACAGAAAATCACCCGGAACAAATCTGGGCAAATTCTGGAGCAAATTCTCAAATGATCGTCCCAGGACGATCCCAGATCGTCCTGGACGATCATGGAGCAGATTTTGATATTACACAAAGCTCTACCACGCCATGACGCTGGAGTTGTTGAGCAAAATTTTGCCACTGTAGACGAAGAAGTTCCCCGGCGCCAGGTCGGCGTCTCTGCGCCATGAGGTGAAAGCCTGATTCACGTTGGTGATGAGGTTGAGCCCGACCTTCATGCCGAGGAGGTAGGTATCACACGGGTGATCAAAACTCTGCCACACCATGATGCCGGAGTTGTTGATTGAGCTCAAAGTTGAGTTGCGGGAAGGTCGGGAGGGGTTGAGGCGAGACGGGCGCCGACGGCATGGGTGGGCAATCACTTTGGAAGGGGTGCGTGCGTAGACAGCGAGGGAGTAGCCGGCGGCGAGGATACGACCGGCCATGGCGGTCCCCATCACACCGTTGCCGATCCTGCCAACACGGGTCTTGTCTCAACCCCTGCTGACGGTGCCGCGGGCGCCCGTCTCGCCTCAACCCCTGCCGACGCTGTTGTGATATATTCAACTGCAATGAGGTAACTTTTGATGAGCTGCAGGAAAAAATATATCGAGCTCAAAGATGCCGACGTAGGAGACGAGTGTGGTGGAGGATGAAAGCTGAGAAGATGCCGGAGAAAATTGAGAAGATGTAGGAGAAAGCTTTGGTTGTTGGGAGGAAAAAGACGGATAATGGCGTGGACAGAACTCCACATCTACCTTTTTTGCATTTTTTTTAATTTTTTTAATCTTATATTAAAATAGTCAAAACACTATCTCAAATGAAGACCAAATATTACCAATTATATACTTATAAATTTTAGATCTTCTGATAGAATTAAATATCGGGTTATTTTTTTAAATATAATAAATGTTTATTATGTCATCTGGTTCGACCCCGATTCAAATCCGGTCGAACCATCGAACAGTTAATCTTTTCTTTTTCAATTCATTGTCAAGTCCGATTTTGGAGGCATTGGAAAAAATGGATGCCCTAATTTCTGGACCTGAACTATTCCAATTTCCAAGTTCAACAAAGCGGTCACCTTTGTTTTAATCTTACTTATCGGTATCCGGATTCGTCACTCCGCCCCCGCCCGGCCGTAACGGTATGGCGGAGAAATCTTTCGGATGATTGCATATCCGATTCGGCCTCCCTCTTGCCCTGGATCTCACGATGAGCAGTCGCAGAGGGAAGCAAACAGATCTGTTCTCCACTGTTGTCATTCATGGGGACGACGTATCTGACCCCGAAGTGACTTCCTTGCTGACGCATGGCTCTGATCTCGGCATCGGCTGTGACGACGGCGAGGAAATGGACGCTGCTTCCCTGCCCCCTCTCCTCCAGCGCCTCCCAAAGGACTTTGACGACGCCGCAGGTTATGATGACGACGATGAAGAAGACAGTGGCGCCTCATCCTCGGGAATATCCGGTACGTTCATCGTTAAGCGGGATCGCCCCTCGGCATCCCCTCATTCTGCTCGCCGGCCGCTCCGCTCTCCTTTTCTCGATCTCAACCGTTCGAGCCCCAGGGCCAGTTCGGAGCCTGATGACGCTTACTCGACCTTTGTGGTCCGATCGACTAGCAGGTCGAGGGGGGCGCTAAGCCCTAGAGAGTCCTTGTCGGGTACATTCGTGAGGAAGACAGGCCGTTACGGAGGGGGATTCGGTTCGCCTTTCATGAGCGAGGCGGTGGAGAGCATGAAAGCGGCCTCGGAGTGGGATGCGGGCAAACAGCATGAGCGTCGGCAGCATCTGAACAGGAGGGCTTCTTTTAGCTCAGTTCCAGACTCCGTTAACCGAGAGGATCCAACCACCAAATATGAGTTGCTTCATGAACTCGGTAAGTCTGCTGCTCTTTCCGATTGGTATTATTATTATTATTTTTGATGTGTCTGTCAGATGGAATTGGTCTCGTGCAGTTCAATTCCGGCTAGGCTGGAGAAGATTATTATTGTTTTTTTAAACTGATGAAAAATTGGCCAAAAGAGACCAAATAGAAGAGATAAGCTTGAATAATGCGTGGTTTTTGTAGTATCGTAGTCAGGAGATAGCATGGAATGGTGACAGTACCATTTGCTTTGTTGCTGAAACAGACGGAAAAGCTAAGAGTAGAACATGGTAATGCACGTTTTGCGGGATGCAGGGATGGTGCTTAAGAGTTAGATTAATGTGATTAAAGTTATTGCACGATTCAGTACCTGTTTCATAAAAAATATGCTTTACTAATTCTGTTTAGATAAATCGTATTTAAGTAGATTCGGTAAATCCAGATATTGTACAACCGGAGAGTTATTTGGTTGCCCGATTATTAAATACTGTCAAATCCCGGTTTGTTTGATTGTAGTTTGGCCGATTTGAGGATTTACAGAAATTTGAATGTTTTTGTGAATTGCAACCAGCCAAATTAATTAAATCCCCAATGTCAATCATTTAGATTACTTAATCTAAAACTTCTACCTGTATAGGTGATTCTACAAAAACAAATTATGAATATTTAATTAAATTGCCTTTCAGTGAATCGCAATAAGTAGCTTAACCTTGGAAAAGAACATAATTATATTTATCATCATAATTTAAAATATAAAAAGGACAATTATATTGTCATTGCGCAACATCAAAATAAAGTTATGCAACTTGAACATAATTAACATTAAATTAATAGCAATGCCAACATAAGAAGATCTTAAATATTCTGTTAACATAGTAAAAAAATTGCATTAATGCATTGAACAAAGAAAGTACCAAAGCTACAATAGAAATAATATAGGGAAAAACTCCAACACGATGCAATCCCTCTTCTCCGCCACTTCTATGGTGAGCATAGGCATGTTAGTTGGATGGCTTCTCCACGGCTATTTATGTTAATGAATTTGGAAAATTATAATGAAGCCATTAAGTAGCATAAGCCTCTCTTCCAATGACTGTATGTGCCGGTGCAAGGATCCATTAAGCTATATACATTTTGTGTGCTGTTCATCTTAAGTATTATAGACTCATGGCCGTCACCTTTGCCATGGATATGAGAAATTGTGAATGCATTAGTTTGTAAGGGTCGCCCTGCAAAGGCAATATAATATGGCATATTTATGAAAAATTGTGGATGTATGAGATTGTGAGGAGTTAGCTTTAAGGTAGGGCCAGCGCTTGATAAAATTTACTGAGAAAGAAATATATGAAGTTAGAAGTGTAAAGTAATGGTAATCATTAACAAATCATATATATTCATTAAGTAATAAACATATACCACCAATAATAATTGTGTTAGATCCATTTTACCAATATTCTATCCACAACATAAGCCTCACTTGCACTATTTTACAGTCACCTTGAACAATGAGGATACCATTGAATTTGTTTGCTATGATAAGAGTTAATGGTTATAGGAATAAATGCATTGTTATCATTTCTAACTTGTTAGATAAATGGATAACTTACAGTTGTAGTTCAAATAGTTGTTGAGATTATATGGTGCAATATCTCACCCATAATTCACTCTCCAATTATGCTTATAAGAATATAAGTTAGGGACTTCATCATCTGCTTCAACTTCTCATAGGTCCCCATAGTGTCTTGTCCATAATTACATCTTATTGAAGCATATAATTCATGTATTTCATAACATCAATTCATTGAGCTCATTATCCATAATTGAATATAGATGCTTCAAATAGCTCATACGATCTGCATAACATTTTTTTTATATCCATTTCCTTGCATGTTTAACTTTATGTGAAAATTGTTTATTTCACTAGCTTTTAGCTCATTTCATGTTATATTATGATTTCAAGAAAATAAAAGGGGCACGAGGAATAGTAAACAAATAACTAATTTTGCTTTAATAAGATATTAAATGTATGAATTCAAAGATTGAAAAAGGTATGTATGATGATGATGTAAATGAGGATTGGTGAGCATATATGAATTTTATTTTGGAAGATACATTAGAAGCTTTGTAATTGATTTGATGAGTTTATTTATGAGCGCTTTTAATTCAGTACTTCTGATGGTTTATTTAGATGATGTTATGTGCTATGTAGAATTATTGGACAATAAAGTTTGATTATTTTCACCTATATGATCTTGGGCGAATTATTACGTCTGGTCACCGGACGTCCGGACACCCAATCCAGATGCGCCACATCACCCGAATACACTAGGTCCCGGTGCATTTTGGTGACGTGGCGCGTTTGGATTGGTGTCCGGACGAATCTGGACACCGGACGTAATGATTTTCCCGGTCTATCCATATCATATGCTTCTCTTATGCCTCATGATTGACTATAAGGGGATGATAATGGGGCGTGACATCATACACATATTCAACGTATAAGTTTAGTATTCATTGAGTTGGAGAAGTATAATCATCAATCAATACCAACCCCTAAACCCATATTATGCACTAATAAATGAAGAGGATAATAGTTACCCAAACCAGCAATAGGAAGCACTGAGCAATGTACTCCCATTTTGCTTGTAGCATGGGAACTAATAAGTTCTCTGTCGACAACATGCTTATTGATGGACTCATGGTAACTAAAACACTCTTCTTAGTTCTTGTTATCTTTGTTTAAACCAAACAACTCACAGGTTTGGACTTTTTTTTTTTAAAACTATGGTTGATCATTGTTTGTCAACCTTTTTTTTTTTTTGAATACAACCTTTGTTATTGTTTCTACCTCTTTTTACTAAAGACAACTAAAGAAGAAGATCTATGGAAGAAGTGGACGTTCAAAATTACAAGAAAGGATACTTGGCATCTGCAGAGATTCAAAGGTAAATTAACAAATTTTGGTTGATTTCATCAAAAGCATAGTATATTTATGAACATTAGAGAAAAAGTAGCATATTTCTTTGCATCAAAATGAACTAGGCTTTCTCAAGTGCAATCAAACCACTACATAATACATTGACCGTCATGGATCCAACAACAAGAAAAATATTGCGAGATACATGAAGAGACCGAAAAATTGGGAGAGATGCACTAGATTATCAAGACTAATACTAGTCATATTTGCAAAAAGTTCCTAAAAGACTTGAGCAAGAATCACTCACTATCTTGAAGGAAGATAATTTGATAGTCAAAAGAGAGTGAGGGGTAGAGAGCCGAAGGGAGAGTCTTGAGATGTTGGGAGATGAGGGGAGAGATCAACATAAAGCCCGTAAAACTTGCTGTGCTTGGATTTGGTAAAATTGGATTTTAAACTAATTTTATTAAAGCTCATTTGAATTAGGTTTTAAAGAGTGCAGATTTTAAGTACCCTCGACGAATAGTTTGGCTAGTTTTAGCATAAAACACACTTAAAGCCTTTAAACAATAGAACTAAAGAAACTATTGTTCTAAGCGAATAAGAGAAGATAGCGTGGCATGACGACAGTTGATGTGCTTGAAATAAATCTCGTTCTAAGTGTAATCATAGATAATTGCAACTTTTATAATAAAGTAGTTTTTAATTTTTATCTTATGATTGTCTGACATTCTAGTGTGATAATGAGTGCCTTACTTGAATATCCAAAAATGTGATGTAGAACATTGTTGAATTCTTTTTTTCTAATACGCACTTGTAGCTTGGTTTAGGAATATAGCAAAGCAGATGGGAAACCATCTTCATTAATAATTATTTTTTATTTTTTCTTAATTTTATTCTACTTTTATGTGATTTAAATGTAACTAGGATTAGATCGAATTGCTTCAAGGAAAAAACATTCCATAGCTGCACCTCATATGAACTGCAATCCCTCATTAGAGTCTGTTATTTAATTTTTCTTTTTTTCCTTTTTAGCATCATTCCAATTCTGATCTATTAGTCTCATAATTAGACTAAATTTTAATTGAGTTACCCTAGTTTCACATTTTCTTGATAATAAAGGAGTAAAATCATTGAGACTGGGATATTTTACATGGCATGCTTGAATTTAATGAGTTTTCCTCAACTGTTTACTATCCATGTAAGTTAAAAGTACTAATGGTGGAGTTTTTATGTCTCTATTTCCTTGTCAATTTCAAACCACTTTTATCAAGTTGACTGCGCTTGTTGAAAATTAACAGGTAAAGGCTCGTATGGTGCTGTTTACAAAGCTAGGGATTTAAAAACTTCGGAGCTTGTTGCCATTAAAGTTATATCATTGACTGAAGGGGTATGCTCCTTAGCTGATCCATAATTTTGTTTGAGATTCCCATATGGGTGTTTTTGTGATTAATTTAATTCTTAAAAGTTTAAGAGGGAGAGGGGAGAGAGAGAGAGCGAGCTTTGAGGGAGTTTTTTTTTCACAAAGATGTTCTTATCCTGGATGAGAGTTTTTTTCACTAAAGTGGTCATATTTTGTATAAGCTAGTGACTATTTGTTGTCGGCTGGTTAGTGTCCAGTCAACATTAGGCTTGACATCTATGATGTTATCTTTATTGCTAAATATTTCATGCTTTATTATCTTGAATGCTTTATTGGAACTAAAATGGAATGGACTTTTTTGAACGTTTAAGAGATCTTTGACATTTATCTTGTTTTTTTTTTTTCATTTTGCCATGAAGGATTCTGTATGAACCTTTTGACTATAAGGACTTAAAGTTGAATGTGAAATTCTTTTCTGAATTTCTTGGTGAAAAAGTTTCATAAATAGAATAAGGTCTTAGTGCCGAGATGTAATTTGCTCTCCTTTTTTTTAGTGATCTCTTTGATGTGTTTTTTGGGCAGGAAGAGGGATATGATGAAATTCGGGGTGAAATTGAGATGTTGCAGCAGTGTAGTCATCCAAATGTTGTGCGCTACTTTGGAAGTTATCAAGGAGAAGAGTACCTTTGGGTAAGATATAACTACCATATGTTAAATTTGATTGGTGAACTTTTAAATTAATCTTAAGTACTATAGTTCTGTGATGATCACTTATGCACATGAGATATACCTTTTTTTTCTTTTCATCTTCCTTTTGATTTGCCATGTCTATTGGTCTGGGTTTACGTTTTGCAAGATGGAAGGGTTCTCTATGCTTATAAATACATAGAGTGTTGTTAAGTTTGTGATATAGTCATAAAGCGCTTCCCAATGTTGTTAAGAATCACTCGTTGGGTTGTCATGCATGCATTTGTGCTAAATGATGAAATTTTGTGGCAGTTTTTTTTTTTCAGAACATCTATTCATGTCACCTTTTGATGCAATAAAAAAAAAACACTAGATTTGCAAACACATTTTTCCTTTCCTTAAAACAAAAGATTAACACAAATAGAACAATACAATACTATTATATCCCACAATAGCTTGAACAAACACAACCACACCTTACAACTTCAAATGAAAGGACACAACAACACCATACGACTAATCAAAGCTTTGAGAAGAAAGATACAATGGAATGGAAACCATAGATAGAAGAAATAGAGTAGAAGACCAAGATGAATTAGAAGAAGAAGAGAGGTAGAAAGTTAGCTCGCAAGCTAAAAACCCTTAGGTTTTGTTTTCAAAAAATCACTACATTTCACTCTCTTAAAACTGCCACAAATAGCCCCTATAAATAGAGAAAAAGAAGCCCAAAAGACACCCAAGCAGCCGCCCAAAACAACCAACCAAAATAGAGGAAAAGGAGCTCAAAAGACACCCGAAACTAGCCGCCCAAATCAGCCAACCAGAAAAGGGGAAAAAGAGGCCAACAACAAGCCAAAAAGGGCAAGAAAAAGGCAGCATTAAACCCGAACAAATAGGAATCAAGAAAGCCAATGGGCAACAACAGGTACCGAACAACCAAGATCAGGTGAACCGAAAAAGCCAGGCAGCAGCAGCAGAACAACCAAAGCAAGGGGAACTGAGAAAGCCAGGGTGCAGGAACTGAACAACCAAGGCAAGGGGAATCGGAAAAGCCAGGCAACAGAAACCAAACAACCAAGCCAGGAGAAAGGAGGAGGGGGGGGGGGGGGCTTGTTTACATCAATTCTTCCCTGGGAGGGAGTTCTCATCCTCTGATGAGATGACTTCAGAACTTCCATGACGTGCCGATTGAGCCACATCCAATTTTTGTATTAAGTCTGCATACTTTCTCTGAATCATTTCTTTTTCTTGATTATATTAGGTCCGGATACTGCGTATTTTATGCTTAAGCTCTGCCTACACTCTGCTTATTTACTGCGTATATGTAGTAAATATTTAGTTGTGAAGATATGCTGTTTATTTGCTGCTTATTTACTGTGTATTTACAAATGCACAGAGTGTAAGCAGAACATACGCAGAGTATAAGCAGAGCGTACGCAGTGTATCCAGTAATCCGGACGCATCTCTTAGTCCGGTGTCCGCACCTAATAATTGCTCCAGGTCATGAGACTCACACAACATTAAAATAATAACTATTTTTAACAAGTTAACATGCTCAATGCATTAGGCTTCTTAATATAATCTGATATTATAAACATGCTCAATATGAAATAACTTGTAGAAGCATATATATAAAATTTAATGTAATTGTTGGCATGAACAAGCAATGTCCTTAAGAATATTTTTACGCTTTATATTAGAAATTGAATATCCCACCGCAAAAAATGGATTTAACTTATAATGGATTTGTTTACTTAGATTATCTTGAAATCTTGACCTTTTGCATGCAACTTGCACCAATTTTCTTAATTTGAATCAATTCCTATTCTAATAACACAAATCTAACTCAAAAGTAACATCAAAATAATATTTTTATCTTAAAATAATTGCTTATCATTCAAGTCTTTAAGCCTATGAACCTTAATAAAAACTCAATTTGCGAATGAAATCAAAGAAATTGGTTTTTACTTTCAAACCATAACCTTAGCTCACCTTTCACGACTCTCTGGTTGATGGCTTAGGCCATTGCATGGTGGGGAAAGTGGAAACGAAATGAATTGCTATGGTACATTAATTGGGTGAATAATGAATTAAATAAGTGAACGATAACATTAGGTTAACTTTAGGTCAATTTAGGAAATTAATTTTATAAAGATTACTAATATCACACATATGTGATCCTAAGAAAATAATGAATTTTATAAAAATATTTTTTTCCTTTTCGTGATGTAGGGAAATTGGATTAGAAAATTTAGAAAAAAATTAATCTTACGTTTTAATATTTTATGCAGTATAATCTTGAGGTAATCATGATTTGATTATAAATTCAAAATTATTTAATATTGACTCTATTTATGCATTAATATAATTTGCATATATTTGTGATCTTTTTTATTTCCATGGCCTGAGTTCTGCAATTCGATCTTGAAAATATTTGGCTCTAGTTCAACTTGAAGATCTAAAAATCTACTCAAGCTAACTCCATTTCTAGGTACATGCATCAACATGTGTATAAATAGCCAACAGATTAAATGAATTTTGAGCCCGCTTAATAAATTTTAATGCTAAAAATATAAAAGAAAATAGCCATGTTACTTATAAATTTATTTAATGGCCATCTGTTCATTTAAATACTATAAAATTTTAATCTTCAAATTATATTATGTTGGCCCAAATAATGCATTTTGCTAGTTCCATTGCATACTAAATTAGAAAAGTTTTGTTATCTAAATTATTTCAAAAAAGCATTGATAAACTACTCAAATTTGTACTTTCTATCTTTACTATCATATATTTAATTTTTGTCAACATCCATGGTCTCCATAACTGGATTTGCAACCCTTGATTCATCTATTTATTTGGACACATCTATCCATTTTTAAGATTTACTCCATTTTTTAGATTTACCATTCTAGCATTTGAAGTTTTTGTTTCTGCATTTTTTAAAAATAAAGTGGAGTGGTGGTAGGATATTTCAAGTGTTGAACTGGCATGGAATGAAATGATGTAATGTGATTGTCATCTGTTTGCATAGTTTACATACCATTGGATGAAACATTGCCTTGGATTACTAATTTGCAAACATACTGCATCAATAGGGGGATTTATATACCACAAAATTCTTGTGTATCTATATATCTAATACTTAAATCTTTATATTTTTTATATACCACTTTAATGTCTAAATCACATCAAAGTATATGCATGAAATAGTGTGTTTTACTTTAAATAAGTTACTATTGGTGGTATTTTTGATGTGATTGAAACATTTGAGTATTATATAAGTAAATAGAAATATTTAGGTGTTATGTATGTTAAAAGGTAAGAATTTTGTGATATGTATGTAAAGCCCTCTATAAGGTATTGTTTTAGCTAATTTACTTAATTTTTTATATGAATCACATTCCTCTTATTGGTTGCATTCATGTAGAATCTCCTTTTGTTTACTTAAAATAACGACACGATAGATGTGTTTTTGCTGTTCAAACTGGTACTTGGTCATGCATGCCAATATTATTGACAGTATGCAATTACTGTCCAGGGGCCTGCCTGATTGTACTAATTGAAAGAAGTGATACCTCACGCTTTGGAAGTGGCTTTAGACTAAATGAGAATGGGAATAAATGTGGATGGAAAAAAATCATATTTTTACCTCAACTAATTTAATTTCCTTTAAAACACATGGAAGTGTCTCATTCCTATATTTTCCACTCATGGGTGCCACTTATATCCAATCACAAATGCAGTTAGCCTGCTCAAACTATGAAGTCTATTTTGCACTTCTGAATATACTAATCCGAATAAAACAGCTAAGTTTTCATTGAATACTTGCATGCCATGTTGGAGTGTCCTGGCTTGCTAATACTTCTTGCTTTCTTCAAGACTATTCACAGGACAATAAATTATAATGGTAACCAAATTTAAGTGTCATTTGATAAATTGCTTACTTTGCAATGCCAATTGCTTGAAAATGCTATTGTTAAAAGCACTATTTAGAAATAAAGCAAAACACCCCTTTCCTGTTGAACGCAAGCTCACAGCAAAGTGCCAAAGATGTATTGCACTTCCCTACACATCCATTTCCGGTGAAATGCAAGCTCGCAGCAAAGTGCATGTGTTGCACTACTTAAAGGCGTCATGCTGTAGTGCTATGTGCTTGGCTCTTGGTTTGAGCTGCATCTTATTTCAAATATCATGTTCAGTTCAGCATCTATTACAATATATATGAACAACCGTTTTCTTTTTGTCATTGTTTTCTCGTATTCATTGAGTTATTTCTCATTAGTTTCCTACTTTCTTCAGCTTGAGCTATTCTTTTCTTGGTTGTTCTTCTTTTCACTCTCTTTCCTAGTTAAATGCTTTTCATTAGTTCTTGTTATTAGCACTTTAGCTTCTGACTCACAAGTCTCTTCTTAAGAATGGTTCTCGATGCCTCATCTTCACAAAACTATCTCTTGCTTCACCGTGCCTCTAACACTCAATCTTATGAGTATATTTTTGATTTTTATATGTATTCTTACATCACTTCAATGTGTCAGTGTGTCATACTTTAAAACTATGGGAGCGAGTTATGGAGCATAGGCTGCGGCGTGATACTGATGTTTCTCAAAATCAATTTGGATTCATGCCAGGTAGGTTGACTATGGAAGCCATACATTTATTAAGAGGTTTGATGGAGAAATATAGAGAAAATAAGGAGGATCTACATATGATATTTATTGATTTAGAAAAAGCATATGATAAAGTTCCAAGAGAAGTGATATGGAGAGTTCTTGGAAAGAAATGAGTCAATAATGCTTATATTCAAATCATTAAAGATATGTATGCAGGAGCTATTACTTGTGTTCAAACACAAGGTGGATTGACCAAGTATTTCCCTATTTCGGTTGGGTTACATCAAGGATCAGCCTTAAGCCCATATCTTTTGCTTTAATCATGGATGTTCTCACTAGACATTTGAAAGAGGATGTACCTTGGTGTATGCTTTTTGCTGATGATATTCTTCTTGTTGATAAGACTAGAGAGGGAGTTGAAGGTAAACTTGAATTATGGAGGTCAACCTTAGAGTCTAAAGGTTTTCGCTTGAGTAGATCTAAAACGAAATATATGGAGTGTAATTTTAGTAGCAATAGACCTAGTGAAGGGATTGTGACTTTGGGCGATCAAGTCATTAATAAGAGTACACGTTTTAGATATCTTGGATCAATTGTTCAAAGTGATGGTGAAATAGATGGGGATATTATCAGCAGAATTCAAGTTGGATGGTTGAAGTGGAGGAATACATCGAGCTTGTTATGTGATAAAAAATGTACCACTCAAACTTAAGGGAAAATTCTATAAGATGGTAGTGAGGCCTGCAATGCTTTATGGTGCCGAATGTTGGCCATTAAAAGAGAAGCATAATACTAAGTTAAGTGTGACAGAGATGAGGATGCTCAGGTGGATGAGTGGCTTTACCCTTAGAGATAAGATACGAAATGAGCATATACGTGAAAAGGTTGGAGTAGCTCCAATAGAAGATAAGATTAGAGAGAGTCGCCTTAGATGGTTTGGTCACATAAAACGACGGCCTTTCGATGACCCGGTTAGGAGAGTAGAGGTATTAGATTTGACTTATGTTAAGAAAGGTAGGGGTAGACCTAAAAAGACTTGGTTAGAAAATATTAGGAATGACCTTTCTTTATTAGATTTAAACGAAAATTTGACTTTTAATAGGACACAATGGAGAAAAAGGATTCATGTAGCCGACCCCACATAGTGGGACAAAGGCTTCATGTTGTTATTGTTGTTGTTGTTGACTATTGTCTTTTGAAATGTAATTTTGATTTTAATGTAAATGACAAATAATTGTTTAAATTTGAAGTTGTGATTGGGAATTTGATCTATGTACTAAATTTTGTGCATTCCATCGTTGACCTATGTTAGGTAAATTTTGACGATAAGTCATCCTGTATCAATTTGTTTTATTTAATCTTAATGGTGATACATTATTCTCTTATATTTAACTTTTTTGAGATGATTTATTGTTCTTTGTTATTCGAGGTATGGTCTGCTTTGTCTCTTTAATCATTAAAATGTTTTTTTTTTTTCGAGAAAAGAGAGTAGTGCTATTAGCATAACAGGATTGCAACCTCCTTTCTAGATGTTGCTTTGTTTGGGAATCTCTGTTCAGCCTCTTTCCCTTAGAGTTTGATGGTTGGGTAATTCTTCACATGGAAGACACTCCTCTGGCACATTGACTTGAGCAAATGCCAATGAAAACCAGATATGTGAGGTTTAAAGATGGATTTGGTATGTCTCCAAAAATCATCATGATCGGGCACGAATCTTGATGTATATTTGAATTGGAAACTTTCAAAATTAAATTTAGGTCCTTCCAAACTCTGATTTCAGCAAACTTATAGTCAAATTGAACGTCTTGACGAGACGAACCCAATAACATATAAATCGATCCAATCTAATCTCAAATGGGCTCAAATCAAGAGCTTAAAGCATTTGAAAACTCTAAAGCATTAACTGGATGACCAAATGATATCCAAATATGACATGCTGATGGTCAAAGGGAGTGGCTCGATGAGACGAATCCAGCGAACCCCAGATAGCTTTATTCTGACATCTATAAGGCACTTAAATGCTGAACAAA